GTAAGAAATAAAACTTACAAGTTTTTTACAAACTTTTCTCCTACGTCTTTTACGAACAAAGTCTTAACAAAACAGACATCCGATTTCTTCTTTCATTACTGATGGCCACAGTAACRAACTTTAATACTTACTTCAGATCTGACTACTACATCCTTAGCAGGATTACAAAGCGCGCTATACAAATTTTTATGTTTATTACTGGAGTAGATGCGTTCACGGGAACAACTCTGTAAACCGAAATATTCATCACTAAACCCAGCAAACAAATCGCTGGTATCATCGCAAAGTTTTCATTATAGGAGCGGCTATGTTAACGAAAAACACGACCGCAAACCGAAATGATCACTAAAAAACCCAACAACTCTATCGTTAGTCATCACGCGATAACACGTTCATTTTTGGAGCGGGCGTTTCAGTAAAGACTCACCCGTGAACCAAGATGATCATCAGAAAATCCGGTTAACTTATCACCGGTCGTAACAAAATTATAATCAATATTTGGGAGCGGACGAATCAACGACACCCTGCATGTAAATCGGGGCAACCATCGTCTAAACGTAAATCAGCATAGTTGGAGAAGGCTTGTCAATGACGACTCGCCAGTAAACCATACTTGCATCAAGAACAGTAAACATCAACGAGACACTACACTTATCAGTATGCAGCCATGCTCATTAGCGCAATGGTGTCCAGAACTAAAAACTTTGCAACGAAACAATTCGTCCAAAAGACAAGAACAAGAATCATAAAAGTTGCTTTCATAAATTTTATCTCAGAAATGATATAAATCAAAACAAAAGGATAAACACCATCCAAGCTGAATCAAATACTAAGTCTGAAATCAAAAGTACAGCAAAGCGTCAAAACGAAAAACTAAGACGCAATCTCCTCAGCGTCATCAACAATCTCAACGGCCCGCTCAGAATGACCCTCGGCCACGCTGTTCGATGAGTTACCATCGCTCGAAGAGTCAGACGAATTCGAACCCGAAGCGGCATCCAATTCATTAGTTCGATCTTCGATGGTACTAATGGGAGAAGGCTTAAGAATATCCTCGAGTTCGCGCACATGATTTCCAAACACCTTATCAGCAAGTACCAGGCCCACCTCCTGCTTCTTGAGAGCAACGAGGTCATCGCCAAGGTTAGGCGCCTTGTCACTCTGAAGCAATTTCACGAACTCAATGTTACTCCGAACTTCAGCAAGATCAATTATGTCAATCTTCGGCTGACCATTGATCGCTCCGATCTTGTCTCTAGCACATATGATCCTCGCCTCGTACTTCGCCTCCAGTTCGCGCTTCGCTTCGTCGACAGCCCGCTGTACAGCCGCATCTTGAAGCTCGGAAGCAATATCTAAGCGGGTGGTAAGGTCAGAGACTTCCTTCTGAAGACGCATCCTCTCAGATTCAGACTCTGTGAACGTCCCATCCATCTCGCGACTCCTTTCCTCGATTTCCTTCATAGCAGCTTCGAGAGGAGTAATGCGATCCTCTGCATCCCTTTTCTGCTTTTTATGGTTGTCGCAAGCCTTCTGAACATTACTAAGCAGGCGATTCTGCGAGCGAACTGTCACTTCGTAGTCAATGGCGAGTATGTTGAACGACGAAAGGAACTGCAC